TCCCAGACACGTATCTCAGGTGAACCCCACACTAGGACTGATAGCCTGAGCTGTGTTCACCCTAAGTCACAGTGGAATCAAAGTTTTTTCAGAACTGCCCATCTGACTTAGAGCCTGCACGGTACATTTTTTTAAAAAATATATTTTTATTGATTTTAGAGAGGAAGCAAGGGGGACAGAGAGATAGAAACATCAATGACGAGAGAGAATCATTGGTCGGCTGCCTCCTGCACACCCCACACTGGGGATGGAGCCGCAACCCAGGCATGTGCCCTGACCGGGATGTGAACCATGACCTCCTGGTCCTCAGGTCGATGCTCAACCACTGAGCCACGTTGGCCAGGCTGCGCAGCGCATTTTCTGAAAGCTGGGCCCTGGGCCTTACTCCCAGGCGGGACCTCCTGCCAGGAGATGACAAAGTGGGCTGTGGTGTCCAAGGGATTCACCTCCTCCGGCCAGGTGGGGTCAGCTCTTGCCGGGGGCACAGCGGTCCCTTCCCACGTGGTGTTTCCATAGCGACCAGGACCGGGCGTCCTCCTCCGCCAGCCAAAACAGCGCCGTCATCAACGAGCGGCTGCAGGAGCTGGTGAAGCTCTTCAAGGAGCGGACGGAAAAGGTGAAGGAGAAGCTCATTGACCCGGACGTCACCTCCGACGAGGAGAGCCCCAAGCCCTGTGAGTCCGGAGCTGGGATGGCCACCCAGCAGGGGTGGGGTGGGACCCCTAAAGCCTGTTGACTCATGGTGAGGGTGGCCCCCAAATGATTGAGGTGTTTGAGAGCAGCCACATCCCCACTGTGTGGATTTTGGGGTCCTGTAGGTACAGGCTTAGCTATGTACCCAGGGGAGGGAAGAAGGTCCCAGTTCTGACCAATGATCTAGTACTTGGCTCCCCTGTCCAACAGGGCAAGTACCCTCATGGACGCTTCTTTTATTATTATTAAATATATTTTTATTGATTTCAGAGAGGAAGGGAGAAGGAGAGAGAGAAACATCAATGATGAGAGAGAATCATGGGTCGGCTGCCTCCTGCACACCCCCTACTGGGGATCGAGCCCGCAACCCGGGCATGTGCCCTGACCCAAATTGAATAGTGACCTCCTGGTTCAGAGGTCAATGCTCAACCACCGAGCCACACCTGGCCAGGCGACCCTTCTGTCTTTATCCCCCTGGCGTCAGGTGGTCCACCCTGGGGCATATCTCGGGGTCTCACACTCAGATGGTGTCCATAACTCACTGTGGAACCAGACGGTCTTGTCTTTCAGATGCCTCACTAGCAATACTCTCATGGGGCTACCTGAACGTCTTCTGCTTTCGAGGTGCCAGGAGGAAATGAGGAGCCTGCTCTGTTGCTGGGGTGGGGGGTGGGGGTTCTAGGTCTTTCCAAAGGAGGACCGTGCCTTAGAGCTCACGGTGCCAGCAATGAGCCAGCAGAGCCTGCCTTTGCCATCCTACCGCTAGGAACATGGCCATATTGGACCTGTAAGAGCCAATCTCTAGGTCACCCTCCTCACCATCCACTGGCTGTCATCCATTCGGTGTCTTGTTTTAGAGACAAAGGAGCCGAGCTTCCTGCTCTGAGGAACCTAGAGCAATGTTGCCCTGGTTTCTGACCCTGGGGGGTGGAAGTCCTGGGTCCAAGGCGCTCCTGGCCCTGTGGGGGGAACCAAAGGGATCCAAACAGATGCACAAGCAGACACTCAGCTGACACATCAACTGGCCCAGAAGCGCCTCCTGTGGGCAGTTCCAGATCGGTGGCTGCTGAGCGTTGCTGGACGGGGGCCCAGTCGCTGTGAGGAGGGAGCTTAGGGTTTTCCTCCAGGAGAGCTCCCTGGCGTCTGCCCACAGAGCTGGGAGCAGCCTGTGGGACGGGGCCAGGGTCCCTCAGCCCCAGTGCGGGGTCTGCAGCTGGGAGCCTTCTCCCTGCATCCCCTGCCTGAGCCTCAGGGCTGGGTCAGGGGTGACCAGCGTCATCCCACAGCTCCCGCCAAGCAAGCCCCGGAGCCGGCCGCGGGCACGACGCCCGCCGGGGAGGCGCAGGCGGAGGAGGAGCACTACTGCGACATGCTCTGCTGCAAGTTCAAGCGCCGGCCCTGGCGGAAGTACCAGTTCCCCCGGAGCATCGACCCGCTGACCAGTGAGTCCTGGCTGGGCCGTGGGCATGGCCGCCACGTGACACGAGAGGACGGGAGAGCGGGATGGGATGGAGGGGCTGAGCCAGACGTGGGCTGGGAGGCCGTGGACATCCAAGGCTGGGACCCCAAAGCAAACACACACACGCATCCCTGGAAGGGAACGCACGATCACAGCCATCCCACAGACACGGGAACAGAGGCACAGAGAAGTTCGCCGCCGACACACACCGCTGGTGCTGGCCGCTGGGCCCTGACAGCTGACCAGGTCTTTCTGCTCAGCTCGTGCTGGCTCCTTCCTGGAGGTGCTGCTCTGAGCAGAAAAGGGAAGAAGTTCTTCCCACATCTGAAGGGAATCCCCTCTTTTAGCCCATTTACTATTCCTCAGGAGTGACAGTCCTTCATGTGTGCGCGGCTCTTTACAGTTTACAGAGAATCTTCCTGCCTTTCTTATCTGACCTCTTAGGCCTGAGCCTCAGGGCAGGGCAGGTGCCACAGAGGGGCTTTCCCAAGGTTACACAGGCAGTCATTTGGGGGACACTGGTGTCCACTGGGCCTCTAAAATGACCAGGTGACCTATGGTATCCACCCATTCATTCATCCATCCACCCATCCATCCATCATCCATCCATCTGTCCATCCATCCATCCACCCATCCACTCATCCATCCATCCATCCACCCATCCACTCATCCATCTATCCATCCATCCATCCATCCATCCACCCATCCACCCATCCACCCATCCTTCCACACATCCATCCATCCATCCATGACATCGGTTCCACTCAGCCGTCCATCTATCGATCGACATGTGTGTGTATCCATCTGTCCAACTGCTGTGCATTACTTAGTACTGTGTATTTACTAAGGCAGGATCTAGATGTCCCCGCACGGAGTTAGAGTAAGGTCACACTTTCTTGGTGGTTTTAGGAAGTGCAGACTGACAAGTGGACTCAGGAGAGCCCCTCAGGATCTTCACGGGCAGATGATCTGGGCTGCCCCGGGGCCCCTCCCCGCGGTAGGGGCCTGAAGATAGAGTCCGTGGGGGGTTCTTTGGTGTTGGAGGCTTGTGAATAGGGATCGGTGGGCGGCTCCCGTCGAGGCGTGAGGTCTTCGCCTGGACAGGATGCCCGGGGCTAAGCGAAATTCTAGCTATTCCTTTATTTCGCAGTGGCTATGTTCTGCCTAACTTCATGGG